TCTTACTAAAAATCAACATATTTAATAACCAAATAGTAGTTAACATTTATTTGATTGAATTTTCACGATAGTTTGTTTAACTTTTATAGGCAATGAAACATTTTTAAAAAAATCAGCAACATTGTTATCTTTATTTTCGTAAAGTTTTCCTACAAGTGATTTCAAGCGTGTGCTGGAAAATTACTGCCGTTGCATTTACAGCCATAAACAATATTTTGAAATTGTACTTTATACTACGTCAAGTTTCAGGGACTTTTGATTTGTATAAGCATGTAAATCAGTTCATGTATATTAAAAGATTTCGCATTCTTTTTTATGAGAATTCTTTTATTTTTACTATTTGCTTATAGAAAATTTGAAGAAAACAAAAGTCAACTTAAAAATCGAAAGTTTACAATATATAGTCAATTGCTTGTTTTATTCAGCTTTGGTTTTATTCCCGATGTCGTGAAAATTGCCGCAATTTTGGTAATTTTCAGGAAAATGAGCGTAATATCGCGATAAATAGAATTAAGTTGAAAAATCGACGATAAAATCAGATTTTATCACGATTAATCGGCAATTTTTTAATAGTTTGGTGTAAACCTATTGTTGCAGAATAAAAATTTTCGCAGGTGTTCACAAAAAAATACAAATTCAGCATATCAGTTCTGAACTTTATAAGTAATTATTGTACAAGGAAAACAAACTAATTAATTACTGTATTTGAGATCAATAGCATATATTTCATTGCTTGGAAAGAGTGTGGGTGGTTGTGGATGTGTGGTGGCGGACGTGGGTTTGAATAAAGAAAGCCACACCCACACTCACATCCACCCACATCCACACCATTATCAATGATATAATTCGTATTCGTGGAAATTATTGCAATTGTTTTACGCAGGAACAAGATTCATGTAAAAATCGAAAGTTAACAATTAGACCAATAGCATATCGTCGAAAAAATAATATTCAATCTTATGAGATTAGTGTTCTATCAAAGTATAATCTTGAAAAACCATGTCTTTGGTTAATACACAAATTAAGTGGAAATGATACTCTTTGATTTGTTTCTCGAATTTCATTATTAGTATATCTTGATAGGGACCTAGATATGCTTTGAGAATATGAACTCTTAGTAATGAAAGCACTATCTCCTCCATTAATCGTTGATGATGATGATAATACTTATTTATAAAAAAATATCTACATATACGAAAAAAATCAAAAATTTTTCCATAATCACAATAAATTATTGCTATTTTTTTGTTTATTTATTAAAATTTTTAGTATCCATTTGTAGTATATAGTTTGTATGCTTAGTTCTTGATGTTTAAATTAAACTTTTTGCAATTCTTGGCTAAAGAAAAGCTAAACTTTTGGAGCCGATTGTGAGGTTTTTTGCAGCAATATCTGGTAGTCTTTTGGGTATATGAGCAATTGAAGGATTTAGTCTAATTATTTATTAGCTCATAGGAGAGAAAAGTTAAGGCATAGTTATTTGTTATTATACATTCATCCATCATTGAATGCTTAATAAATTAAAATCTGTCGTTTCGTTAAAAAGAACATTATGTTAAAATGAAAGGAGTTGAACAATTAACTTATGAGCAAAACTTATCAAACCAACAGAAAACAGCAAGATCTGTAACAGTAAAGAATAGTTTTATCTGTATTTATGAAAGCCTACCGAAGTACAAATCCTTAGAAGTTTCTAGAAAATTTCTAAATCTTCCTTGAAATTCAGATAGATGTAAGTGTGTCTCTGGCATCCTTGTATACAACTCACTTAACACTTACACTCCACCCACAACCATACCCGTCCTTGGTTTCATGCTCTGAAGTTTAGTTTGAGCATACATAAAAATTCTTCCATCTTGCCTACTTTATTCTGATAATTTATTTCTAACTATTTTTATTTCATGGGTAATTTCAGTGTTTTCTGTTTATTGATTTGTTCTCTTGTTTCTATAAAGTGCTTGATGAAATGTATACGAAAAAAACAAAACCGAACATTTTTCTTTTATACAGATGCTGATCATTCTGGTTGGACTTTGCTCAAAAATTATATAACTGTAAGTCGTTTAAATTCTATAATATAAATTGGCATGCTACACCAGGAATTTTCATTTGTTTCCATATGAAAAAAGTGAGGAAAAGAGATTCTATTTAGTATTTTATCGTCGGAAGAAATCGGAGGAATTGTATTTCTCTAAAAAAAAATGGTTTCGTCATTAAGAAGTTCCAAGCTGTCTATCAGAAAGACAATTTATTAATTATGTTTTCATTTTAATGAATATGTGATAATATTGTAACCATAGACATATCAATGATTTTGTCTTGATTTTGATAGTATAGAGAGTTACATTTATCATTTTGTTTTTTAGACGAGATTAAAATCTATATTTTTTCTCTGAGATTTTCAAACTTCGGAAAATTTTACAAGAAAAAATATAACTTTTTTTCGAAATTCATATCAAAGATTTTTTAATCGTATTAGTTGAAACTGAATTAGTTTATTTTATAGAAAATCTTCAGTCAAAAACAAAAGTTGTACTTTTTCAATCAGAAGATAGTTAATATCGTATGAATGAGAGTCTTCAAAATTTGCCATTTCTTATAATAAATTTTTAGAACACGTAGACTTTGAGAGAACATACGCATGACGATAAAAAACCTAAATGAAACCAGAAATTCAATAAATTGGTTTAGAGATAGTCTCACTTTGCAACAGAGAATGTTGTACTGGGGGCTCATTGGTATAATACTTGTAAAAAGAGATCAATTTTAATTTATTAGTTATTATAAAATGAGATTATCGAGAAAGTGATTTAGGAAACGACACATATTCTGCTCACCAAAATATTTTATGTAAATAAATCGACGTCATAAAAGATCCTTGCCATAGGTAGTGATGATGAGAACTAATTGATTATTTATTTTTGTTATTATCAAAAAAATTTCATCATATCATAATTGCTTATATGGCATTTACGAAAAATTATCCTCTGTTTTAGATATGTAATATCTATAACAGTATGTTTTTCATCTTATTCAATGTTTATTAAATTAAATGAAATCTTCTACTTGTAAAAGATGTTTTTTTTCTAAAGGTTTATTAAAGAAAATAAATTTTAAAAGTTCATCATGTCAAATTATTAATATGCAATAAAATTAAAAATATAGAGCAATAGTAAATCCATCTATGTTCTATTAAGAAAACTCTTTAGAAAGAACTCTTCGAGATTATTATGAATTATGATATTATTTAATTTTATATAAAAACATCCAATGATAGCTAAGAAGGTGAATATCACATATGAAACTAAAATTACATTAATAAATTTTATTGGATTTCATTGTTTTCTAACTGAATTATGATTAATGTTGATTTTTTGGGTGGTTATGGGAGTAGAGCAATTGTTAGTCTTACTGAAAAGTGACACCCATGTCCTAAACTAAATTTGTTTCGTTTAAAGTGATTCTTAAATTTAAATCATTAGAATCAAATTGCGACACAAAATATTTAAACTATTTTTAAATTAAATTAATTTCAATTTATTTTGCAGATATAATAAATGTTAAACTACATAAATTGGGACTTCTCGTTATGAGATAAGTCTTGTATTTTGCTTTTCTACTATTTTATGCTTCGATATACTTTTATGTTTTTACATAGGAAACTATAAAAAAAGGACTTTCCAGTCGCCACCCTAATTAGAAAAGAAATCAATAAAGTAGGTAACAATCTATACATATATTAATAACAATTTAATAATTGCCATCAATTTTTGTAATCGTAATATAAGAAACCATATTTAACTAATAATCATGAAGTTCATCATAGAAGATAGGTGGTAAAATATTTCTTGTTCTCATATCTGGTCCATATTCTGAATATGTCTGATTATTCATCGGTTGTTGTTACTTATAATAGTAATATTGAAAAGTTCCTTGTCTTACATTCTACTTCTTTTCCTTTCTGTAATGGATTAGTTCAACGAAGTAGCAAAAAAATTTAGTTCAAACAAAATAAGTTAACTGAATTTTTTATCCTAGTATGAACAAGAACGAATATAGGATTCTGAAAACAAAAAGACGAACTATTTTTCTCATCTATACATGAAACTTCGTCTTTGAAGAGTTTCAAGTCATCTAGCTGATGGATGTCTGAAAATATGCTCGTCATATGTTACATACTATCGGATCGATCAAATGTTTAAATTTATATTTCATCTTCTTTTACTTATTATTGTTCTGTTCTATAGACTAGTACAGATGGGGGTAGGTAAAACAGATTCAAAGATGTTTTGGACTAGTCCAAACATAGTTAAACGATATTTCTCCTAAAGATGACTAATCATGACGTTTGAGATTAGACACGACTAGTATTACGAACATTTTAGACTAGCTATGTCGGACGTCTTTGCTTTTGTTCACTTGAGTAGTCAATATAAATATACGAATGTCCATCGTAGAATCATCATAAAATATCGAGTTAAAAATGCTTACCAACGAATTAAATACTCCTGAATCTCGTCGTCTTCTCAAAGTTGTCGATGAAATGAGAGAAATACTACATCATGAGAAAATTTCTCTTCCACATATTGTTGTTGTTGGTGATCAATCTGTAAGTAAAATCACATTGTGACAATCATATAAACTTCCTCTTTCGCATGTTCTAAGGTCGGTAAATCATCTGTTCTCGAAGCGTTGAGTGGAGTTCAATTGCCACGAGCACAAAATATTTGTACTCGATGTCCACTCGAATTACGCTTGAAAAATATTCCATCTACTGAAACAGAATATGCCACTATTCGATGTGAAAATATGGCAGAGATCAGAATCAATAACTTTTTGGATATCATGGACAAAGTAACAGATTGTACAGTACAACTAGCTGGTGCAAATATGAACGTTTCGTCAAAACCAATTTATTTAACTGTCTATAAAAAAGACATTCAAGCAGATTTAACACTTATTGATTTACCAGGTGACTACCTACAATTTGAGAAGTTCAGTCAAATATTAAATTATATTTCTCTCCGATTTGATAGGTATTACTCGTAATCCAATTGGTGAACAATCAAAAACTATTTATGAAGATATAGTTGAGCTTATTGAACATTATATTGAACCACCAACAGCTATTGTTTTGCATGTGATTCCTTCATCTGTGGATTTCACAACTTCTGAATCGATTCAACTTGCAAAAGAAACTGATCCACATTGTAAGAATGTATAATTTGTTTTTTTTTTGTTCTCAAATTCTTATCTATGTTAAAAGGTGAACGACAATTAATTGCTGTATCAAAAATTGATAAGTATGACAAAGGTATTGGAGAAAAACTTCAAGGTATTGGACCAGGTTCGATGGCACTTAAACTTGGTTGTGTAGCTGTTCTTAATCGTACACAAGAAGAAATCGATCAAAATATACCATTTGATGAAATGCGACGACGAGAACAACAATTTTTTCGTTCTCATAAAGCTTTTGAAGATGTATCAGAACAATATCTTGGTAGTGAACAATTAGTAAAACGACTTGCTTTAATTCAACAAGAACGCATTCGTTCAACTCTTCCATCAATAATAGATGAACTTAAAAAGGAAGTCAAGTCCAAGAAATATGAATTGAAGCAGATGCCACCACCTGTTAATTCTGAAATGGATTGTTGGGCATTATATACAGATTTAATTAAAAAATATCGTGAAATCATTAATGCACGTATTCATGGCATATATGATAATGAGATGAAATTGAAAATTGAAGAACCAATATTGAATAAATCTTATTCATCACAAACAACTACTCGTACACAATCGTCTAACGATCGAAACGACGAACGTATTGCCTTTCAACTTTATAATCGACAAAAAGAATGTAGAGAAAAACTTCGTAATTGCTTCAAAAAGTTCTTTACATCTGAATATCGAACAATCGTATTAAAACTACTTGAAGAAAATGCTGGTGTTGCTTTACCTAATTTTCCATCATTTAGCATTATTGAACAACTGTATCGTGCTGAACAAAGCAAATTTTAAGAACCATGTGAAAATTTAATTCAATCATTTACTGAATATTTGAAATTAATATTGATTAAAATATTAAATGAAGTTTTTACTGAAGAAACAAGTTATAAATATCAATTAACACATAGATTAACTGATATCATTTTACGTACTATTGATGAAAGTGAAGAAAGATGTAGTAATGATATTAAAAAGATGCTTGAAATTGAAGAACGTGTATTTACACTTAATCATTATTATATGGATACAGTGAACAAAATCAAAACTAAATCTCAAGAATATAATACTAATCTTGAATCATGTAAGTTCTACCTCTATAAATAAAGTGTATGCATATTGACTATCGTTCTTCTTTGTTAGGTGGAACTACGAGAATTTCATCGACATATACAATCAATGATTTTGAAATAGATGTGAGTGGTCTTTCGAATGAACATCAAGCAGCATTAGATATTCAAATAGCTATATCAGCTTACTGTCGTGTAGTTGAAAAGCGTATTGTTGACCAAGTTTCTCAACTTTGTTATTATTGGTTTATTACTCAATGTGCTCTTGTACTCGATTCAAAACTGAATTCGGCATTTACATCGGCTAACTTGTTTGAATGGATGCGTGAACCATTCGATCAACAGCAAAAACGTGAAAATTTAAAGAAAAGTATAAATGCAATGGAAAAGGCATTATTTATGGGACAGAATGCATAATGAACTGAAAAAAAACTAATTAATTTTTTTATATTACTACTAACTTTAGATTTGATTGTATAATAAATAATAGAAGTGAAATTTAATTTTACATCTACAGTAGATTACGGTCAATGTATCAGTAGACAATTGATGATTCAGCGAATCAAAGATCAAGTTTTTGAATTTGATGAAACGAAAAATGAAGGAATCCTGATTGTTTTAGTCATTTGAATAATTCGAAAATCTAAATTAAAGATGATCACTTATCAATGATGCTCAATATTTATTGTTTATTAAACTGAGAATATTCATAGAGAAAGATGAATTTCACATCAAATCCTGAAGACATTCGAATATTCTTGATGTAATCAATTGAAATAAAAAGATGTGAATATGGGTTAAGAAAGAAGTCGCACCTACACATTCCTTACTCACACCCATCCTGTAATACGAAAGCTACAAATATCAAAACAACATAAATATAGAAGAAAAAGAAAATAAGTTCTAAAACAAACGGTGGCTTCAAAATTAGGAATTGAGCTAAATATTCCTCTCCCTTAACTTGAAAAGGCACCAGATATTCTAATGCAAATTTCATCTATAATTTTTGAATTCACTTTGTTGTTTTAATAAAACATTAGTTGCTAAACGCATATTTACGAGATTATTTAATCATGAATTATGATTTTCTTATGGCAGATACTCCGTGTAGGCAACTTATTCTATGAAATACGGTACAAAACATATGTTAACGTATATTAAGAAAAGAACTTGGATCTACTGCCCCTGTGCCCCCCCTAAACACTATGACAGACCCCTCAGAACCTCATTAAAGACCATAGTGAATACAGAATCTTTCTCCTTCTCTAACGCAGATTGTGGCAGACTTTGATAATATAGGATTGAAGACCGAATAGCATTTAAATTCTATTAAATACATGAAATATACTCTCGTTGCAGTTATAGTGAATTAAGTAAAAAATGATGAACCGATATGTCCTAGAATAAACCGAAACAGAACAATTCTCATGAGATTAGTAGCAATAGCTGCATCCTGTTTCGAATTTTTATTTCTTTCAAAATTTCACTTGCAACTTTTTCTAGTATCGTAAAAAACACTACTGATTCCATTGAATTTCTATGATCATCTTAAGTTGCGTCCGTAGATTGTACGTTAATATCTATGAGAGAACCAAAATATATCTATTAAAGTTATTGAAAATGCAAAGGCTTACACATCTTTACTGAAAAAAAAAACAATATAAATAAGCTTTACATATGAAAAAAGTTGATTGTATGAGTGGTATATAGTATAATACTCAGTAAATCAGGTGCTACTCATATTCACCAAAATCATGCATAAGATTATAATTAAATTAAAGCGATAAATGTTAGTTATGATGCTGAATAGCGATAGTATTTATAACCAGAATCCTATGACTCTCCTATCAGGATACCAAGTGATTTTGATGATTTTACCCGCATCGTAAGGGGAGAAAAACTCAAGTTTAGCACTAAAATGATACTAGCGCAACGAAAGAGATAATAAACAGCTTAAAAAACTTCGATAAACACGTGAAGTTTTAGTGTTTGAACTTATCATTTACCTCTTTCTTATTAAAACTGGTATAATCTCATTTTCGAATAATAAGAAAAATATTGTGACATGTAAAGAACAATAGTATGGAAGAGGAAACATGCAATTTCAAGCTTCTCTTAGTTTCCTTCAAATGGATACAGTCTCTCTCCCAATCACTCGAGGGTGTGGGTGTCTGGGTGTGGGTGTGGGTGTGGGTATGGGTGGGTGCGCTGTTTCAGTTGCACACCCACACCCACACTCACATCCACACCCACACCCACACACCCACACCCCACCACACCCCACACCCACCCATCCAACATAAAGTTAGTCTATACAGAATTTACTTTTGCAGTTTTTCTGCAAAAGTAAATTCTGTCATTTTCGATAGTCTTTCGTTATACATTGTGTTGTTACAAAATTCTCGCTACTGTTAAAATTAAAATTTTATATTTCATTCAAAAGTCGCTCATTCACTTATGTTATTTACAAAGGATACCTGTGGGGTACATCTGAAAAAATTCGATATAGCCAACAAAATACACATTATATAAGATAGATCAATGGGGAAAAGGTGAGTTTTTTAGATTAACTCAGTTCTTTATCAAATATTTCAAAAAAACTCAAAAAAGCTAAAAACTCAAAATTTTCAATCAAAGGCGATGTGTCAGATTAGGGTGTAGATGTGGGTGTCAGTGTGGGTGCTGGTGTGGGTGTGCTGTGGGTGTGGGCGGGTGTGGGTGAGAGTGCCCATCTTTCTCCTCTCACATCCACACCCCATACCCACACCTACTCACACCCGCCCACATCCACACCCACCCACACCCACACCCACCCACATAAACACCCACACGCACACCCATATCCACAGCACACCCACACCCAGCCACACAACAAGCTCTTTTTATTTTTTTTTTTCATATGACCCTTCCTACAGTCGAGGGAACTATGCATCAGAGAAAGAGCGACCATTTCATAAGGTCACAAAAAGCTGAAATATTGTATTTGTGCATGAGTCATTGAATACATAAGTACATCGCAAATATTTTTGATATAAAGACATAAAACGTTTTGTGCTTTTCGCGAAAAGAATGTATATTTGGGTAGATTGCAGTTGAATTACGATTTGCCAGCTATATAAAATATATTTTCGACGATAACAAAGAACGACGCATTCTGTTGATTATTGACTTGAGTCTTTTTTTTTGTAAATGTCAACATTCACTTAGGTGCGTCATTTCAGTAAGCGTCAATAGTCATATACGATAAGAGTAGATTATTTATATGCTGGTATACACACTCCACACAATATTTTCGCAAGAGAAAATGATCGTCCGTACTTTCACTGTATCGTTATATATCATTGGGGTGTTTTCAAAGAGTCGTGCTATCGTCAAGCTGAATGTACTATTGTCATCACACGAACCTAAATAGTATGTTTCTTCTCATTTTTCTGAAGCTTCCAAAGATGTTTGTATCGAAATTTCTTCACGGCGTTATCAATGAACTTGCTATTTTGAACATTTTAGTAAGAAACGATAGTTGTTGGTGTGCTTATTTGTACCACTAGCAAGCAACTACCATGAACTGCAGCTTCGATATCATTTAGTAGTAGACATAGTGCAAACATTCAAAGCTCTTTAGAGCTTCACTGAGCATGATGCTGTCCTTTATATGAGAAAACCATGAGATTTAACCATATTTTAGAAGTTTTTATTTTTTTTATAGTTTTCCTGCTAATTATATGATCGAGGGCTCAAGATACATATTTGGCTAGAAGACCATGTGAGCGTAGGAATGAGTAGGTGTAGGTGTGAGTGGATGGAAACCATAGGGTGTTGAGTGGATGTATTTTCACTTGAAGTTCTCATGTACCCACGCACATACCCGCACCTACAAATATAATGCAAACATTAGCAGACAGTAAATTTAAATCAGTCATAAATACTCATTATATGCCGTAAGCATTGACAGAAGGCACATCGCCATTGGAAAATTGCGTTTGGCGCTCATCTAAGGAAAATGTCGAAAATAAACATTCCCTCATAACAGAAGCTCTTTCATCGTTACTTCTTCAGTCTTTTCCTTTATTGTCAAAAGAAGAATTGAATAATTCATATTGCAAATGTGCTATATCACATGGAACTGATACATATTTCACTATAGCTTCTATTTGAACAAGCATTTTCTTTCCTTACAATCCAGACGACATGTACACGATGGTATTAACATCTACCATCTTTTTCGTTCCATGTATTTTTTGTTCTCCAAACTTTATTTGCTATTAATAATTAACCATCTGAGGGCAAACCTCGTATATATATATATATATAGTTTGAAAGTTTTTGTCGAAGTGAAAGTCTTTGGAGTGATTCAAGTAAATACTTCGAATGTTGTGTTTTTTTTTCTTATCGTAAAATTCTCTTTTTGTATACTTAAAGTGCGAATTAGTAAGAAAATCAAGATAGTAAAGGAGCAGTCATCCTATTCCGCAATGTTGAACATTGCAGAATCAGTGTCATCCAATTCCGGGAACTCTATCATTATTCAACATACGGGACCTACTCGACATTGATCGAGTTCCGTCAATTCCAAGAATTTCGGGAACTAAGCCCAGACGGAATTACTCCAAATTTAAAGGAATTCAGAGCAATTTCGAAATCGGAAGAAATTACTAGGAATTCTTGGGAATTCCGAGCTATTCCGTCTCCATTCAATTCTGGGAGTTCCATACCGGAATTATGCAGTTATCTCAGAGCTTAACCTTCTATCACAACAGGATGCGTGAGGGTGAGGGCGAGAAGTAATTCCCATACGGAATTCCGGAATCGGAACGAATTTCTAGGAATTCCCGGAAATTCTGTCTCCACTCAATTCGCAGAATGTCGTACCGTAATTACTTAGTTATTTCAGAGATTAATCTTCAACCGCAACAGGATACGTGAGAGTGAGAGTGAGAAGTAATTCCGGTACGGAATTCGAGAATTGGAAGCAGTTCTCGGAATTCCAATTAATTCAGTTTCAATCGAATTCTTGGAATTCAGGTAATTGCCGGAACTCGATCAATATTGATTAGGCCTGTGTTGTAGCATGTTGATCGAGTTCCCGGAATGGAAGAGAATTGATTCTGGGTGCGGAACTGATTCCGTAATGTTCAACATCGCGGAATAGGATGTATTCTCATAGTGAGCGCTTTTTAAATGATTATAAATGTTGACACTTTCGCTTTATTTCTTTCATAAAAAAAAGAAGTCGGTCTTCAAAGCGTTAATATGCCATGCAATGCAATAAACTTTGTACTTTCGAGCTATACATCATAAATGGAAAAAACGCAATAGTCCTAAACCCTTTCCAGCCGGCTTCCAAAAGGCAGACAGCAAGAAAATATTGTCTTGCATATTTTTTGTTGCTCCACCACAGTGATACCAAAAATATATTTTTCAGAATAAAAAAATTTCTTTTGTATCCAATGGCTACATGTTGCCATTTGGCAACACCCGGCCGTAACGGGTCAAATTAGTTGAAAAAGTTTTTTTCGATTTCGATTATAAAAATGCATTATTCAGTACCTCTTCGTTTATTAAAAACACTTAAACATGAAAAGAATTACTCAAACATAGATAGAGTGCCTCCATGCAGCTTTTTCAAAATTTAAATTTCGTTTTTAGTGACAAAACTCCAGTGCATGAGACTAGCAGTTCTCCAAAAAGGACACAAAACAATAATTGGTTTGAATATGAATGTGCGTGTAGATAAATGAAAGACCTACACCAACGTCTGCATTTAACTCACGATGCACCTATTCTTGTTCGGTTATTACACTCTGAAGGCTAGCAAACTTGAATTTTGCCACTAAAAACTAGATTTAAATTTGAAAAAAAGCTGTGGAAAGCATTCTATACATGTCTGAGTCATATTTTCTTCTAAACACGTTTTGAACAAACGAAAAAACATATAATAATGCATTTTGATGATCGAAATCGAAAAAAAATTTTTTCAATTTTTTGATCCATTACGGCCGGCTGTTGCCAAATGGCAACATCTATAATTTTCATTGTTCGGATTTACTGAACAATCCTTTTTATTAATGCAACATGCAATAGATCTAAGCAGCAAAATTTACAGCCAATGACTTCTAGTATTGAATCAGTCAATCTGCATGAAAATGTATTTTACGGTTGAATGGCTTCTATGGGATATTGTAGATAAATTCGGCTATGTTCTCAACGAAAAGTTCCTTTTTGTATTGGAAACCGTGAGTGTATGCAGAAATGTACTGCAGTAATTATCAAATCGTTAAAAAGTTTTATATCTTTACTATAAGCAAGCCATCCTAGAAATATTGACTGAATGTTGCCAAATGGCAACATCCGGCCGGAAAGGGTTAGCAAGCAAGATCGATATCATAATATCCATAAGTCAGATATTAAGATTCTAAATATACGTGTAAGGATATTCACGTAATGCATTCTTGGTTAACCAATGCCGTTCATTTAGAAATTCTAAGTGTTTTGGTGCAATGAGATCGATACCCAACTCGGTACTTACATAACTGCAAAGGTGAGAATTTTTAATGAATTTGGTGCAAATGTAAGTGGTATGGATGCTTTTGTGCATCTCCTATTGATCTACAGTCCAACCCTCGCATACCGCGCCCTACACACGTATCAATACTCATAGTCCACACTCACATGCTCTATCTCGTTTCATCAAATTCACTAAAAATTCTCATCTGTGAAATTATATTTAGGTATCAAGTTGAATATCTCCTTCGGCGAGTATCGTGATGTTTAGCTTACAATTACTCAGTGTATGGATATTATGACATCTCTGACAAGAGAAACAAAGGATTGAATTTGACTAGGTGTACACCGTAAAATCTCCTTTGGCCGAACTACTTCAGTTAACGGCTCATTTTCTTATCATGTTTTAGATTTTTTAATTATGGATTGCAAAACAGAAAAAGCAGTTCCAATGTTTATTAAGCCAGAAGATTTACATTTGTATAAATCTTTTAAATTTGTTGATGTACGCAATCCTAACGTCTATGCTGAAGGTCACTTGAAAAATGCTGTTAATGTACATGATATATTCACATACTTATTGCCTACATCGGCAGAAAATGCTCTTAATCAGATGGAAAACTATTTTAAAAATCGATTTAGTGAATTAGGAATAACTGGAAAGGAGCACATAATTATTTATGAAAATAGCATGAACAGTCAGTATGGTGCATCATGTCGAGGATTCTTCATATTTAAGTATATGAAACATCCCAAAGTTTCAACACTCGAAGGTGGCTTAGAGGCATTGCTGCTTACAGAAGGTGGTGCACAACAAATAACAAAGGAGCTGCCAACAATCATACCATGTCAGTATGAAGGACAAGATGATAATGTCACCGATGGCCTAATGGCCAATCGTGATGATGTTTTGCAAATCATCCATAATAAACTGCCACGAACATGGTTATTAGATGTACGAGATGCAATTGAATGGAATGGTCTGTCGTCAAGTCCATATGGCGTTCACTTCACACCTCGAAAAGGAAGAATCCCAGATTCAATCTGGATTGAATGGTACAAATTCCATGAGTTGGACAGTGACAAACGTGTAGTTAAATCAACATCAAATGAACAAATTCAAGCTCTATTGAAAGAAAAAGGCATTCAAAGCAATGATGAAATCATTGTGTATTGTTTTAAAGGTTCAAGAGCAGCTGTAGCACTGATGAAAATGAAACAAGCTGGATATACTAATGTTAAAAATTACTTTGCATCATGGAATGAATGGTCTCGGGACCCACAACTACCAATCGATGATAGAATATTTGTGGATACCCAAGCATAACATATTCAAATTATATTTTTATTCAAATTTGAAAATGTTAAATTTTTTAAACTGACATGTTCACTGAAATAAATCCACAGTCCTAGATTGAGTCATTTGCTTACTCTTTTCTGCACGTTCCATCAATAGCTAATAACTGTTGTTTCTCGATTTCAAATTATTTATGAAAATTCTTAGGTATTATTAATAGGTAACAGAAAATCAGAACTCATATCTATATTATGAGTAGAATAATGTCTCTTAAGTCGTCGTTTCAACGGACCATTTGTTATTAATCACTTGAAGCTATGAGTAAAGCATCAATTGTTTCTGAATGTTAATTTTACCTAAAAAAAATCAAAAGTAACGTGGAAATTGTAGAAAAAACAACAACAGTAAAAAGACAAATCCTAATTCTGATTGTAGAAAAAAATGAGTTCTGCAAATATTCGAATATTACTTTTATTATTATGAAACAGAACACGCTATATTAAATTTACACTTCATATTTTTCATGTATTAAGTAGGCGACAGGTCGCAAGTTGTCTCTTCTTAATCAATGCATTGAATTCAACAATATTTTGAATATGACTTAAGGGGATCCCCTCCCCTCCCCCCAATTAGAAAACCCCATTTTTTGAAGAAAAATCGAAATAGAGTTTTTCCCCCAGAGAGATGCGCCGAAGCTTCCTCTTCTCGAATATTGGTAGCTTTTTGCAGAACGATCAGATTTTCGTGGACTTATCGATAAAAAACTCAACCACTCTACTACCATGTTTTACGAAAAATTTTCGTAATTTTTCAAAATTTTTCAATATAGTTTTATTTACTTTATATATTAAACGTTGTACATTCTCTCAGATCGTGAAAATAAACGATATATTCCTTCTGCTTCCATAGAACCTAAAAAGCATATGGTTAAAATAGAAATTGCTGAATGAAATAATACTTGATGAGCTTGAATGATTTATTTCACATTTATGTTTATTTTTAATTTCTTCATATTTTGTTGGATTTGAATGTTTGCTACTAAGTGCACCTGTAAAAATTGAACAACTTTTTGATAATCTCTCCAAATCCAACACCTATAGAATTTGAATGATAATATATAGAAATATTTTTATCTGATACGTACTTTTGCACTGGAACCGGTTGACATTATTTCAACAATTCCATGTAAACTAGAAAAGCCGCGTTTTTGCCAGGTTCCATATCCGCTTACGGTAAATTTACGTTTATTTGATTCACTACGTGCTTCTTCTAAAGCATTTTTCATTGAATTGAGCTTGTGTGATTCAAATACCGGAAGTATATGTGTAATTGTACGAGAAAAATGATCATCATCAATAGGAGGTGGTACATTCAAAACACCACAAAGTTTTAGAAGATCTTGATGACCTATTCGGGTAAAATTTGCACCTAAATAACAGATTAATTTCTGCGTTACTATATTACTAAGAATAAGCTTCCCAATTGCGCTTCGAATATTAATATCTAGTTTAGAAGTTTTTGGACATTGTTTAGATGTATTGATCTTAATTTCGTTCGAGCAGTGACATGTAAACACCAGAGGACAGTATAATCCTAAAATATATATGTAATTATTAAGTTTTACGAGAAACAAGACAATATAAACAGTACCTTCCCTTTTCGCAACAGACATATCACCATTCCATTTTGATTTACATGAGATACAAATAGTTTGTTTCATTAATTCTAAC